ATGTTTAAGAAATAGATATAATACACTTATGATTTCAAATTGCTTTTGTGTTTTAGTTCAAATGGTAGGATTAAAAAATGTAAGATTATGAAAAGTCTACACATGCAGAAGTTAAGATTTTTTATCTCAGCATTTCATAATTTATGAAATTACTGACAGAAATTATGAATCATTTCATTTCTTAAAAATATATGCAACTGCTGGACATGGTAATGCACACCTGTAATCCCTGTGGCTTGGGAGGCTCAGGCAGGAGGATCTCAAGTTCAAAGTCAGCCTCAGCAACTTAGCAGGGCCCTGAGCAACTTAACAAGACCCTGTCTCAAAAAAAATAAATAAAAATAAAAGAAATTTAAAAATGGGCTGGGATGTGGATCAATGGTTAAGAGAGCCTGGGTTCAATTGATGGTCCCAAAATAAATAATAAGTAGATAAGTAAAATGTACAATAACCTAAATCTACTTTTTAAAATGTGATTGAATTAGTTCAGATTTTTTAATCACTGTTACCAAAATATCTGCCATGAGCAACTTAGGAGAGGAAAGATTTATTGTGTCTCATCATTTCAGAGGATTCAGCCCACAGTCAACTGATTCCATTGCTCTAGGCTTGAGGTCAGGGCAGAGCATCCTGGTGGAAGGACATGGCAGAGCAAGGTATCTCAGCTCATTGAAACCAGGGAGTGGAGGCAGGGGAACTGGAGAGAAGAAAAACCCTTCTAGGGTATGCCCCCTGACCCACCCCTGCAACTAGGTCCTGCATCCTACAGTTCCCTTCACTTCCCATAGTTCATTCAGCCATGATTGATTACTCCTTTGATGACTCAATCATTTTCTAAAAGCTCCACCTCTCCTTGCATGAGACTTTGGGGGACATAACCATAACAGAGGAAGTGGGATTCTTGCCTTATTATAATTGTATCTCTAGAGCCATTAAAGCATGCATTTTCCAATCATGCATGTTCCAGCTACTTGGGAAGCTGAGATAAGAGGATTGCATGAGACTGGCCTGGGCTATACAGTGAGACCCCCCAACTTGTAAAAATGCCATTAATTGAACAAAAGAGGGTTAAGGTCTGTATTAAAAGATATTATTCAGACTGGGCCTCCTCCTCTCCTATTGCATCAAAGACTCAAGTTCCCCCTTTGGTGTCTTTGGCTGCAGATATACTCGAGTTTCCTCTAAGTGTGTCACTTCTTCCAGCTTTACATTGTACCCATTTTTATTTTAGTTTAGAGTTTTTCTGACAGAACATTTGTCCCTTCATTATGTCTTTTATGATTGTTTATTTCACTTAGATTTACATTTTTCAGGGACATGATTTTTTTTAATTGTGGAAAGAACACTTAACATAGGTCTACTATATTTCAGCAAAATTGTAAGCCTACAATTCAGTATCATTATATAGAGGCACATACAGCAGATCTCTAGAAATTTATCATTGTGTGTAATTGAAACTTGGTATTCATAGACCAGTATCTCCCCATTCACACTCCCCTTATCCCCTGACAACCACTAGTCTATTCTCTGCTTCTATGAATATCATATCCAAGAATTAGACATTGCCAAGGCCAATGGCAAGAACTTTTACTGTGTTTTTTTTCCTAGAAGTCTTACATTTTTTAAGTCTTACATTTAAGTCTTAAGCCATTTTGAGTTGACTTTTGTGTATGGTAAAAGCTGAAGGTCCAATATCATTCATTTGCAAGTGGATGATCCAGTTTTCCCAAGACAATTTGCTGAAGAGACTTTCTTTTCCTGTTGCATATTCTTGATGCCCTTGATAAAGATCAGTTGAGGGTATATGCAGGGGTTATTTCTGAGCTGTCTGTTCTGGTCCATTGGTTTATATGTCTGTCTTAATGACAGTACTATTTTTTAAAAAATATTACAGCTTTGTAATGTGTTCTGAAACCAGGAGGTATGAGACCTTCAGCTTTATTCTTTCTCCTTGTTATTCTTGGTCCTTTGTCATTCCATATGATTTTTCTTTTTGGTTCTGGGGATTGGACCCAGGGGCATATAACCACTGAGCCACCTCTGCAGCCCTTTTTAAATATTTTATTTAGAGACAGGTTCTTGCTGAATTGCTTAGAGCTTCACAAAGTTGCTGAGGCTATATTTGAACTTGCCATGTTCAAAGATTACAGGCATGTGCCACTGCATCCAGCTTTTCATATGATTCTTAAGAATTAGATATTATTTTTTATTTATGTGAAAATTTTGATAGTGATTACATTGACTATATAAATTCCTTTGGCATTTATGGATATTTTTAACAATGAAAAATCTTCCAAACCATTAACATCAGATATCTTTTCATGTACTTGTATCTTCTTTAATTTCTTTCATCACTGTTTTGTAGTTTTCAGTGTGCAAGTCTTTTATCTCTTCAGATTTATTTGTAAATATTTCATTTTAATTTTTGAAGGTATTGGAAATAGGACTGTTTATTAATTTCATTTTGGATAATTAATTGTTAGTATAAAGAAATGTAACTGAGTTTTGTGTATTGATTTTGTTTCCCACAAGTTAACAAATTTGACTATTTCAACAGTTTAAGGGCTTTAAAGGGATTATTTTACAAAGAAAATCATGTCATCTGCAAACAGATATAATTTAATTTCCTTTCTAACTTGGATTTTATTTATTTATTTATCTATTTATTTATTTATTTTTGCCTAAATGCTCCAAGGAGATCTTCCAGCACTGTGTTGAATAAGCGTGATGAGACTAAGGGTTCTTACCTTGTTTCTTATCTTAGAGGAGAAGCTTTCAGCTTTTCACATAAGTGTGATATTAGCTGTGGCTTTTCATATATGACCTTTATCATGCTGAGGTTTCCTGAATCTTGGTGAAAATTTGGTTGAGAGTTAGTAGCAGTGAGTTCCTGAAGTGTCACATACCAGAACAGGGGGAATTTCTCGTATTCATCTGCAAGGAAGGTCTGTAATTGAGATGGCCTAAATAGTGATGACTGTCCTAGCAGAACTGAGAACAGGAATCAGTGAGGGCCATGGTAAAGCTGGAATCCCCAGTAAAAACATTGACACTAGCTTTTTACACCTTTGAATTTTTAACTAAAAATCTAATATATGAGTCCTATTCTGGCTCCAAAACTATTCCAGTGATTTCTATGTTCTCTCATACCTCTTCTGAGATTAGAAAAACAGGACAAAGAAGATGAGAAGAAATGAGAGAAAACAATTAAAATATTGAGGGACAGGAAAAAAAAGAAAAATAAAGGGAGATAAAAAAGAGGACACACTTAATTGATTTGAAATGTGGTCTGTGCCTCACAACTCAAAAGAGTTTCAGTGCTGTAAGTTAAAATTCCTGGAGACTCATCACACCACAATGTGAAAATATTTAACACTACTGAATTGTATACCTAAAAATGGCTAATGGTAAATTTAATGTTGTAAGTTTTTACTACAAAAACACACAAACCAACCAATCTGTGGTCATTACTTCACGTCAATAGAGAAGAAAGGACCTGCAAAATGAATGGGAAGGTATTGGACAGGGGAAGAAGGAAGATGGAAATGAGGTCAAATTGGCCATGGTATACAGGTCCTATTTCCCATTCCAGCAATCAAAGTCTCATTGGAGGCATTTTACATATCCATGATGGTTTACAGAATTTGTCCTAGGTTTACAGAGTTCTATTTTCATTTAGTTGTACTTGCTTTTCTAGAGGACTAAACAAAGCATTCAATGAGATGTTCTTTGTGAAATCTTTCCTACAAATGAATTGTTAACCACTTTTTATGTTACATGTTCTGATTTTCTTGGCAAAGAACATTGGGCCTCTAATGATGATCTTTCTTTCAGGCTATACTAGACCCATTGAGGCACCTAATTCTCTCTGAGGGATTCTTTCCCTTTCTCTCTTCCCCTCCTGAAATTTTAGGGCACTGTGAGTGGAGGTTATCTGATGGGTGATGTCAGCTCCTGATGAAAAACTGGAAGACAATGCCTTTGCTCCCAGACTTCCTCGCATTCCTCTTTATTTAAGAACAGATGAGACCCAGTCTCTTTGTTACTTTCTTCTCAGCTATTTGGGGAGCAAGAGAAGACATTCTCTTAAGATAATGTTTCCTTTATAGAGGTTCATCATCTCCTCAGCACAAGCTCTCTATGAACAGTAGTTTCCTGCCCCTCATCCTGGGATTCCCTACTGCTTAAGCCCAGATTTATATCCAATTCCCAAACGGGTTACCACACTTAAGTCTGAATGGTGGCCAGAGAAGCCCTTAGTCAAGGACAGGAAAGCATGCACATTTTCAATCTACCATCTTTCTAGAATGTTCATTCAAGAATTCCTCTGTTTGTGGCCTATTTAATTTTTAATGTGTAGAACTAAAATTATAAAGGGCCATTTTCTGTGTCAGAATCAATGAAGATAGATGGAAAGTCACTTGATCTCATAATGTTTCAAAATTTAATTAAAATGCCTTTATATAAATTTTTCATAAAATTTATTATATCTATATTTGTGCTTATGCTCTCAGAATATCTTGCTTAGAAAATCCAAGGCCATTTTAAATCTTAAAAAGTTTGTCTTTTCCTTTATCTTATTTAAAAATATTAACTTTTATATCCATTTGAAATTTATTTTTAACAGTTATTAAAGTAGGCACCCAAATTTATTGCTTAACATCTAAATGACTCTTCATTCACAATGACATGTTTTAGCAAATATAACACATTTTTCTAATTTTTATTTTAACTAGATTTCTGTAAGTATTGCTGTTTGGACTTTCTACTATGTTGCATTGAGATGCTTATGTATGGCTTTCTAATGACATTCTTTTTTACTTAGTCTACATTATATTTTGTCATATTAAATGAGAAGGAACTGTTTTGAGAATTTGAAGACTTCCTGAAGTCTGAGGTTGTCTGCAGTGCCGCTTTTGGTCTCTAGAGGGAGATGCTGAGCAACTTGAACTATCATAGAAAACCAGAAGGCAAACCCGGCTCGCTGAGGAGCATTTTGCAGCGCAGAGTGGTTAAACTCTCGGTGCGCTGTCAGAGGGTCCGTATGGCTGAATTGTTTCCAGAACAGAACCTGCTGTGTCCCTGTGGTTCGGACATGACGCCCATCCTCATATCAGTGCTCGTGATGATACTCACATTCGGTGAGTAAAAAGGTGCTTTTCATTCTGTCTGCCGGTGAACTGTGATGTAGAATCAGTTTAAAGCATTGTTCTCCACGGTCTAATTAGTTTTTTTTTTTCCTGATCCATAATTGGTATTCAGGAGGAATCAGAGCCCAGACAGTGACCCAGCCAGAGGACCACATCGCTGTCTTTGAAGGGGCCCTGGTGCAGGTGAAGTGCAACTACTCCTATACGGGGAGCCCTGTGCTCTTCTGGTATGTCCAGTACCCTGGACAAGGCCTCCAGGTCCTCCTGAAACACACCTCAAGCGATAGAACCAAAGGATTCACAGCTGCTCTCGACAGAGGGGAGAAGTCCTTCCACCTGCAGAAACCCTCATCTCATTTGGACGACTCAGCCACATACTACTGTGCTCTGAGTGGCACAGCAACTGCGCTTGCAGGGGAAGCCGAGCACAAACCCTTCAGAGTGACACAAAGTGCTTCCTGTCAGCTCTGTCTGTGGTCCCAGTGAGGCATTCTTCCTCCAGAGCTTGGCATTGAGTGTGCCTCTAAGATACAGTATCTTATCATGGATCAGTTAGCTTCCGATGGACCTCAATGATTGGTTTTAAAAAGTCTCATCACCTACTCTGCTTAAATTTGGGTTTTTGAAAAAAAAAATGTATTTATTCTTTCTAGAAGCACCCACCAAAGAAACTTTTGAAGTAAAAATGGCATAGCACAGCAAAAAAAAAAAAAAAAAAAAAAAAAAAAAAAAAAAAGCCAGAGAGACTGTCCAGGTGTAAGTGGTATAGTCTTATCTTTCTAACTCCCCTGCCACCCCAACCATCCCTCATGTGTTCTTCATTACATCCCCAGTGCAACTCCTTATTAGCTCTAGGCTGGTTCATGGCTTCTGATTGCTGATCTCTCTGTATCTAATGATCTCTTTCTTCTCTATATTTCACAGACTCCTACTTTAGCCAAGGTCTAGCCAAAGGGTAAAAATACAACACAGTAATTTGGACAAGAAAAAATTAATGTGAAAATTACTGAATAATAGAAGGAGATTAGCTATTAAAAGGGGAAAGGACTCTAAAGAATGTAGGAATTGCACATGTAAGGAGAAGCTCTCAACTCCAGGACCAAGGCAGACTCCCAAGGAAGGAACACATTGGTACAAGCACACTCTGGATCCCTCCAGCCAGAACTAAGATTCAGACCTCATTGGGAATGTGCAGCTGTAGTCTGCTAAGTGGTGGAGAAGTTTGCAAAGGTGCCAGAGAAAAACTATTGCTAAGTGGTAAAATACCTACCAGGATCCAGTACAATTTACAAAAAGCTGGCAAAGGTGTGCTGCTGTACTTGCTTGGGTGCTTATGAAGACTTGCCAAGAAACCATCCGGAGGACTGTCACACACCTGCTAGAGGGGCACATCCCTGGGAGTCCCAGGCTAGCCAAGCACTGAAGGGTGGACAAGAGAACCGGAAACACATCAGCAGCAGAGAAAAGAAGCCTCTTTTTCCTTCAGTGTCCTTCCAGCCACAGTTAAAGACAAAGCTCCTTATCATACCAGTTGGCAAAGGAGAAACAATTACAGGGTCCACATCCCATATCATAAAAAGGGAATGATGGACAAATTTAGAGCTAGGAGAAAATTAATTGGTAATTGGCCAACCTCATCCCTCTGGCTGATCTTTCATATGCACCTCTATATACACATCTGCTCATCCCAATAACAGTGTATTGTTGTTCCACTTAACAAGCTAAAGAGGACTCTGAACAAGTGAAAAAGGTTTTTTCCCTCATTTTCCCCCAAAATGAGGAAATCCATAGTCCCAACATTTACTGTGTGAATCTCTGGCTCTAAAGTCACTTTTAAAATTCAGAAGGAGTTCTACATTCAGACTACATTGTGAAGTTAGTTACCAGTTATCTGCATAAAAATAATTATGCTGGGGGAAAAGAAAAAAGGAGAAGGATAGAGGAGAAGGAGAAGAAATATATACAAATAGGAACATATAAATACAATGGACAAAGAGAAAATAAAAAATATACTACTATATTCCTTGATTTAAGATTTGTTTATGAGTCTGCAATTGATATAGACTATATCATTCTTTTAGTTTCTATTTTTATTCCTCTGTCATGGAATCACCAAAATCTTCTTTCTCAAAGGTCTGAGTTCTCAATGATCTGACCTTTTTATTTGTTATGAAGAAAAACCTTGTAACACCAAAAGCACAATCCATGAAAAAAAAAGAGATTAAATTGAACTCATCAAAATTAAAACTTTCAGCATTGTGGAAGACCCTGTTAAGAGGATGAAAGGTAACTTACTGACAAGGAGAACATTCTGTAAATCACATACATGGCAGAGGCCCTGTAGCTAGAACAAATAAGGAACTCTCAAATTTAATAGTAAAAGAAAAACAAAAACAAAAACCCTCAAGTAATCCCTTAGTGTATCTGAACAATGTCAATTCCTGGTTTTCATATTGTACTACAATTCTATTTAAAAAATCTCACCATTGGAGGAAGATAGTGAAGAGGACATACGACTCTATAAATATTTTAGGAACTTCCTGTGGGTACATAATAATTCTAAAACATATTTTAAAATTGCACTGTTATTATCACCAATATTTTCAGAAATACCATGAAGAATTGGGAAAGTATCAAATCCATGTTAATAGATGTGAATTTGTTAAATATTTAAAATTCACATGAATGCTCAAAATATCATCGACAACAACCAGTCACTTGTCTGCCAAATTGTTAGCTCAAATCTTTCATTTTCAAGAAAATGTCTAGCAACTACCCAAACCTGCTAGGCTGTGCTCCTACTTTCAAGTGAAAAAAAAAATAGAGTTCTATGGAAAGGCAGCTTGCTGCTCCCACTGCAAACCATGCTCCAGTGCTCTTCCGAAGACCCTGTCATGCTTAAGACTTCAGAGGTGCTGCAAGCACCATCTGCTTCATCACGTAGAATAGTAAAAAGGAGTACACTTAAAAGAAAAGATACATCTTTTTTTTTTTCATTTCTTTATCAAGGACATACTTAAGCGAAACTTTTTTTTTTTCTTTTGCAAATACATGGTGGGTCTCTTTCTGTGGCGATGCATACACGCAAGGCTATTAGCATGTTTTAGGGTCACTGATTTTACCTAAGATGACAACAGTTGTGTTTGTACCATCAGTACAAATGTCAACACAGTGAAACCCCTGAACTATATCTTAGTGTTATGATAAAAAAATTATTTTCATTATGCAGATTATCTGATACAGAAATACTCTCAGATATTTCAGTGGACCTAAGATATACAGTTTGACAAGTGCTATTCTAGCATTTTCTGTTTCAGTGGGAAATAACCTGATTCTCTACTGAAGGTAATTTTCTTTTTATTTAACTGTGAGCTTATAGGACTTTACCATTTATTTAGGGTGAATAACAATTGTGAGGCATACAAAAAGGTCTGACAAATGTCCTCTAGGATTGGAGGTGAGGAACTATCTCAGCATAGCTATGTCCTACAAACATTAATGAATTCTACATATAATAGTTATCATTCTTAACTTTTTTAGATAAGAAGGAAAAAATGTTATACTCAGAATCCATTTTTTTCAAAAATTATATTAAAGATACATTATTTGTATTTGCTTTGGTTGAATTTTTTTCTTTTTCTGGTTAGTGTTATATTAAATTTAAAAGTTATTTTTCAAGTGCTGCAAACTTTAAAATTTACATCTCATTAATATTTGATCAACATTAATTGCTATTATTGTATAAAATATACATTTCTCTTTGCTTTATATTTCTTTGAAAAACTTTTCAGTCTCTCTATTTTTCCTTCTTATACATTTAAATGTAGTTGGTATTATGAATAAAATCTTTCTTTTCTATTATACTGTTACAAGGTCATTGTTGAGCAACCATTTAATGAATATATATGAGTAATCATAATCTTTTGTCATAACTTTTTATCTCCACTCCTGGGGATGAACCCAGGGCCTTGTGGATGCTAAGAAGTCATTGTACCCCTAAGCTCCGTCCCCACCCCTTCCTTTAAGTGTCACTTGTTTTTTTTTTTATTATTTGTCATAATATTTATCGATGGTTTTCAATAAATATGCCTTATCTTGTAACAAGACTAGATACTTAATTTTTAATTTCTTGAAACTATGTTGAGAAAAATATTTTGAAATTGGTTATTTTTTGTTATCTTGCGAAGCATATGGATTTTTTAACTTGATGTGTTATATCAATGAATATTTTATATTGATTCATACTTGGGTTCCTAGAAGAAACACTAGGTACTAATTACCTTTTATTCTTTCTTCACTTATTCATTTGTGAATGAGAATTTGTTCTCATGTTTCAGTACTCAAAGGTACAATAAAATTTCTCACCTCACAGCTCTCCTTTCCAGAGTCTGGATCCTTTTGGCATGTATAGCTGAATACATACCACTTTTAAGATAACTAGATGCCTGCCCTCTTGTAGTTGACATTAGACAAGTCTCAGGATTTCTTAGAGTCAGGGGACATCTTTTGATCATTATTCTATATTTCCTGGAAAAGTTTTTCAAGTTTTCAACTATCTAGCAGAAAGCAGGAAGATTAAAATTTCAACATTTAAGATAACATCAGGTCCTTGCTCAAAAGACTCCAATTTTTCTTAGCTTTATACTAACAAACATGAATTTGTGTTGGCTGTGAGCCGACCCAGACCTTCCTGCAGGCTTTTCTCTTGGCACTCTCTGGTCCACACATCCTCCAGCCAAGACTCTCTTCCTTGTTCTCCTTCACTTTTTCTCCTTCTCCTCCCCTGTGCTGGGGATTGAACCCAGGGCCTCAATTTATACCAGGCAATTACTCTACCACTGAGCTACATCCCCCACCCAGCCTTCCTCCTTGTTTTTCTTCCTTCTTTCCCCTCTTCCCAATCACTAACTCTTTTTCCACAAGGAATATCTTGAATTCAATACTGAAACATTTACAAAATTTTCTAGAAGATTTTTGCCAATCTTTTTACTGTTTAGCATCAGGACTTATTTTCTTGAAGCAGTACCAAGTTTTGAGGCATCAAGCCCTGCTCTAAATGGAACTTTATTATCTCATCATTAACTTTCCACAACTTTGAAAATGTAGCACTGGATTGTTATTATCCATATTTTACAATCAAGAGAAAATAAGCCCAGAGGACACATGGGCAGCTCCTGAGTGGGTGGATCTCAATTTGACCTCTATGGCAGGACAGCAAAGCTTCTCCTCTCCCTGTGCCCTCCTGTCTCCTACCATAGAAACTGAAAGTGCCAGCTACTCTTTACTATGCACTAAATTATATTTCCACAAAATTCATATGTTGAAGCCCCAAGGATGACCACTTCAGAAAGTGACTGTATTGGAGATAGGCCCTTTAAAAGATGAGTATTTTTAATGTTTATTGCAGCACAATTCACAATAGCTAAGCTATGGAGCCAACCTAGGTACCTTCAACAGATGAATGCATTAAAAAATGTGACATACAT